TAACGATTTTTTGGCTTGTGTAACCATTAGCCAATCACCAAGGTAACACCCGCCCCCCTTATCACCTGAATCTCCTCCTAGAGCACCATTGTATTTTATTTTACCAAATATCTCTCAGAGGGGCGTGGGGAGGGGCTCCTTATTTCAATCAATCAATCAATCAATGTTTATTTATATAGCCCAATATCAAAAATGTTACATTTGTCTCAGTGGACTTCACAGTTTGTACAGAATATCAGTATGACAATACGACACCCTCTGTCCTATTTAAAGTAACAGACACAGAATCAGCACTTTTGAAACTGGGCTGAAACCGAGGGGATTATGGGATGCTCAGAACAAACACTTCAAACACTTCAGAGACATGTTTTGTATCTGAGAACTATAATATATTAACGAAAAACAGTATAATTAGGGGACCTTTAAATCTTAAAGCCACCGTGTCCAGGAGAAGCTGCTGTCAGGAGGCCATCAAGAGACTGGCTAGAGAAGACCTTCGATGCCCCCCCCCCACAATCTGATTCAGACCAGTGTTTGCCTCCTCTCTGTGTTGATTGGAGTGCAGAGAAGTCTCTAGCTGATTGGGTCTGAGCCTGCAGTCTCTGGTACTTTTTTCCTCTCGACTGATTTACTTCCACATCAGAGGGAAAGAGATGATGGAGGAGGGGGAAAAGAGACAGACTTTTTTTATACAATCACAACTGCACGTAATAAGGGAGGTGGGGGGGGGGTCTGTAGATGGGAACTGTAGCTTGCACTGACATAGAGCAGCCACCTGCAGTGTTTGAGAGAGAGTATGGTAGGGAGGGAGGGGTGGGGAAGCGTGCAATGAGGGGAGAGAGAGAGAGAGAGGGAGTAAGGGAGGAAAGAAATATTGCAGGCAGCAGAATTGTGAACAGCAGGACAATAGAAGGATGCCGCCGCGGTGTGTGTGTGTGTGTGTAGGATGAGGTGTTTCCTTTTCAGCTCAGAGGGAACTACAGATGTTTTTTTAGGAAAGTGGACCTGACCACATCCCACAGACTGTCCCAGACTGAGGAGACAGTTGGAGCACTCTTTCTTTCCGGAGTTCATTCTGGGGGCCGGCTATTTCTTAAGTATGCGTTAAAGTAGCTTGTGGAATCCTTCGCTGGATTTTCATTCATTTTTCTTCCTGACACATTTCCAAGCGTCTGCATCGACCACAATGGGATCTATGACGTGGGAATCTCCTCTGGAACGGGATTGGTTTTGCGCCAAGTTAAATAGATGATGAGATCACTGAAAAGGGAAAAAGAAGATTTATCTGCATTTCACTAGTAATTTGAGTTTAGGTTTAGACCTTTGCTTGTTTGTTATTGTTATTTGTCAGCTTTTTTTGATGTGTTGTCCTAAAGGGAAAGCAAATAAAGGTAATATATAACTCTTTCCTATCAACAGAAAACACATTTACTCATTTATCAAGTTAAAAGTGAATGGTAATTTAAGGGTGTGATAGCTGAAATCCCACCGCAGAACATGTGTTTTTTGCTTCTGAATTGTGTTGAATTGTACCAGTAATATGTAGAGGCAGTAATCTGTCTTCGTTCAGGGTTAGGCTCCTCTGGGCTGCTGACAGCCGTCAGTGTTGCTTTTGGTCTCAATCCATCTCGGCTCATGACAGACTTGTTGTGCGTCCTGCTGCTTCCCCTGTGAGCGCTGTGATGTTCTCAGGTAGATTCCTGTCTGGAGTGTTGGTGGTGCTCAGCAGGCTGGGTCTTTCATTCAGAGTGCCTGTTTACTAATTAATGACGAGTTTCCAAAGAACTTTCCATGTTGCTAAGACACATCACCCTCTCTGGAGTAAGGTGTGTCTCTCCCTCTGGGTTTCTCTTCATAACAAAACTGGAGCTTCACTAAATCAGCTCTTTTCAATCAAGCTTTTACCTTTGGACACAGAATGCTACTTCCTGACCCTGGACATTTTGACTTTTGTCCCAAGTTGGATATGAACGGTTTGTTACGTTTGCAACAGTGAAGTGATGCAGATTTTTGTTGATGGGGAATGTGTTCTGGGCAGATCCCCGCCTGACTGTCATAGCTAAGATCTCTGTTCACATTAGCTGGTAGTCCACCAGCTCAAACCCATTTATCTCCTCCTTCACCCCTGAGATCAGGGGCACTTTTAGCCATCTTGGGTGACTGTGGTCCAGCCCCCGCTGCCCTGCGGGAGCTGACGCCCTGTCCACAGAGGACACTGTCTCCCCCGCCAGGCTCTTGTTGCGGATGCACTCGGCTCTGCTGGCCGAGAATGATGTGGCAATGCCACGTCTCATCCTCAGAGTGCCGCTGCTACCGGCTGAAAGGTTTCTCCCTCCTGAAGCGCTTTCCCCTGTCAGCAGGTGCTGCGGGCCGGCTGCTGGAGCAGCCTGTGGGCGACTGGCTGGAGCACGTGGGGCTGCCGCAGTACGAGAGCAAACTCCTGCTCAATGGCTTCGACGACCTGCACTACATGGTGAGTTCCTTCGTTCTTTTATTAGGTCCAAATGGACCTTTATGCTCTTGACTGTTTAATGTACTTTCTTTCTTTGTCTTTGCTCACTTTCATAATCTTTTTGTTCTTGTCTTTCACTGCTTGCTCCTACTTAACCCCAGTTTGTTTCTTTGTGTATTAATCCAATTGATGCCTCCCCCATGAGCTGTGAGATGATCCCATTAGGTGTGTCTAAAGTTCAATTAGCTGAAATCCTGTAACGACCTCTCTGGTCTTTTTCATCAGTTTTTTTTTTTAAGCAGCTGCTGCAATATATTGATATGGGAACTGTGTATTCTGGGTGGATTCAGCACATCATTTTATATCTCACCTTACATCACAAATGTTATACATATCTTAATATTCAGTGAGTGATTCAATGACATAGCTTTACCTCTCGGCTCTCCGGCAGAGCCTTGACTGATGTTTGCTAGATTTACAAGTTCATTCAACCAGACAATTTGCAGTTTTATCTTTGCTGTCAAATATTTTGTTTACGGGAGCTTTGACATCATTACGCCCTGTTGCGTGTTGAATCAGGTTTATGCTGCACTCTTAGACTCTCAGACAGTCTGTCTCCATCTCAGGGGCCGGCTGTCCGTGGCCCCTGACCGGAGAAGCAGCTGAAGCCCGGCCAGAATGAAGGAGAGTCTCGGTGAGCAATGGGATGCTGTTGCCAACCCGACAGTTGATGGAGCTCACAGTGTGCGACGCCACTATGAGTTGGCTCTGTGGCTCGTGTCAGTAATGAGGACTGATGGAGGAGAGAATGAGAGACCCAGCTGGTAGGCTGAGCCAGTGGGCATGTTGGAAATGAGACAAACGCTTTGTGTGTCAAGAAGAAAACTCTTTCCTCCTTCATCAGGCCTATCAACACCTTCTCTGTTGCACTGGAAGAGACATTTGTTAGCTGTGTTTCATCATTCATAAAATCATAGATTAGATGGTATGTGAGCCATTGTAGCTCATTTCTTTGAAGAGACCCTAAAAGTGGAAATCCTATTGTCTCTTCTAAAGAAATACAGAGCAGCATACCAAATGTAATTGCCCGTGCAGAGACAAGTTATATTCCTTATTTTGTAGGACCAGTGCTCCTGGAAGCCAGACTCTTGACAAAACCTTGGTCTTTGATCTAGCTATTTCATAACTTAAGTTAGATTTCACTTAAGATGTGTGATCTGTACAACTGGCAATATCATTGTGGACTTTTAAGTCACAATCTCAAAGAAAGCCACATTTGTAAACTTCTCACTCCTTAAACGTGAGGTAGGTAGGTTTGAGAAACCGGCTCGATAAACACTTTTTGTTATATTCCATGGAATGCTCTTAACATCCCGATAGCAATGAATATCTTAAGTGCTTTGACAATAAATCCATAAAAAAAAAGTCATCTGTGGAAGCCGTAGTACTGTAAAAAGCACGACCAATCATCTGAGCCGGCCCGGCTAAAGTAACTGGATGGCCTACCTGCCTGTCAGCCTTCCATCTGTGCACAAACTTATCTCGTGCCCTCATCGGTCATGTGCGCGTTCGTGTGTGTTGGAGGAGGGGCTCTGTCAGGAAGTGGCAGATTTCTTCCGGCTGTGTATTTTCAAATTCTAGCCCACTCGAGCTGGTTTCTCCAAAATGACCTACCCCACCTTTAATGTTGTCACATAGTGTTACCTACCTAAACCTTAAATCATACCCTGTTATATTAGGATCAGTTTGTATCAAATATTGTACTTAACTCTTTTTATGATCCAACAGATGTTTTCTGTGTGCCTGGAAAGATAGAATGTTTTCCAGGGGTGAAATCCATGTTAAAACTCCATATTTCAACGGACTATTAAATTATTAAACCAGGACAACTACCCTTAAAAATCATGCAGCAGTAATTGAATACAGTACAGAGGAGGGCATAACACGTTATGAAGAAGAGCCATCTTTCGTTCATTAATTACAATGGTGATGAAGTTCCTTTTAGTTCATCAAGAGTAATTGTTCCCCCTTCCCATGAACGGTATGTCACAGTTTAAAGGGTCACAGATGGTTATTTGGTCTCCTCTTGTTTGGAGGGATGTTGTCTCCCTGGTAACACTGAGGTGTGTTCCATGTTTGTGTTTTGCCACATGAAGGTCATTGTGATCATTGTTTTTAATTACAGTGTGTTAATTAGACTTGTAAATTAGGACCTGACTCCAGAGAGCACAAGTTGTCCTTCTAAGCAGCAATGTTGTACTGGTATGGATAGAATAACAACGCTAGAAACATGAATACCAAAATAGATGTGAATGTTTTGTGCTCTTGGACTAAACCTAGCGGTGTCAGACTTGTTTCAGAATACATACACTGATACTTGCATTAATAATCTTTAATCTACTTTACATAACCTGACATAACCAGCATTCCAACATTTATCTGTCCTTTCATTCCCACCGAGCGTCATCAACACCCATGTTTAATTCTGTGCTGAAGCCTCTCGAGGTTTAATCTTCCTACTGTCTTTTAGTCTTTCAGTCTCACACCGTCTTTAGAGTATTTCCAGAGAGCCGGCTTGCTTTCTATCTTTCAACACGGCTTACAGACCACCTGGCTTCCTAAAATCGCTGGAGGATTTGGAAAAAAGCAGTAGGCTTTAAACGGCTTGTGCTTCTCTCAGTAAATGTGGACCTTTTTAAAGAATCACAAATTGGTGAGTGAGAGTTGCCCTCTGAATCACCTTTATCTTTGCCCAACTTTTCCAATTGTGTTTAATGTAGTTAAATGCAGTAGAGTGGAGAGAACAGGAGCAGGCATCGTTGGCACAGTTACAAGACAGATTTGTTTTGTCTAATTGTATTAGTAGTTCCAGTCAGAGGCACAGATTTATGGAGCTCAAAACGTCCAATAGTTCATATATAGAAAAAAAGGAATTGAGAAATATATTTTTGCACTAATAAATTGTGTAAAATATAAAAAAGAACACACTTATTTGATTATATGTTGTATCTATCTGTATTGACCCACCCAACTCAATGAAGTGACAGAATATCTGCAATTATGAGGATGTTTTAAATGATCTCAATGTATTGGTTCATTTATATATACTTGCTTCATACATCCGTGTTTTTGTTAACTTCATGTTATTTGTATTGATTTATTGAATATAGAAGACTTCCGAGCTAAATTGACTCCAGCAGATAATGTACTTGAACTAAATGCATTCTCGTTATTACCACGCTGATCCAGTGTACCAGCTCTAAATAACACTCAAACTCATATGCTTGGTGTGTAAAGATATACAAAATTACAGAATCATGGCTGAGTAAAGTCTAATTATTGAGATAACACAGCCTAATATCTGATGTTATCACGTTTTTATGATAGACATCAGGAAGTGAAACTTAGGTGCTAGCAGTAATAGTTGTGTTCATCATTAAATGAAAAAAAGAATCATCTGAGCAACACACTTTGGAAATCTCTCTCAAATGATATTTAGCTTTCTTTTAATTTGCCCATGGATATGAGCAGCTTAGAAACAGCATGTTGTTTTTGCTATGTTTGTAAATGTCCTTTTCTTACATGTTTTATGTGAGGGACTGCGGATGGAAAATAGCTCAAAGCTAAATTCATTGTGTTAAGTGTTCATTACATTGTTTTTTTTAAATGTCCGCTGTGCAGTGAGATCACTAATGAAACAGTGTTTACTCTGGCCGTCAGACTGCTGTGATCTCTGTCTGTCCTGCAGGCTCGCTCCAGAAGAGGATCAATAACAGCAGTGATTGTGTTGTGTTCAAGCACCGAAGCAGAGACAAGGCTCTTCTGCAACCAATTAGATGCTTTTTATCGACTCATGGAGCAAAAAAGTACCGATGAAACAAGCCCGTGCTGCACTCCGGCCCTCCATGGTACTCACCAGTAATGGCTGTTGAAACGAAGCAGCTCTTTTTTCTCCCTTCTCTTCGTCTGAGCTCAGATTCTGCCGTCAGCTGTGACAGGGTCAGCCGGCGGAGCTCCAAGTTAGTTTGTATTCCAGGCAACTGTGCCACCGATTAAAGTCTGCTGCGACAAGACTTTGGTTTATGCTCATGAAGACGGCTTGAGAAGGAGTCATTTACTTTAGTTTAATGTCAGTAGAGGGGACTCAGAGCTTGATTTCAATCTTTTGGTTTCACAAGAATCAGAGGAGGCAACATTTATTTTTATTTATTTTTTATTTATTTAGTTATTTGACAGGGACAGTGCACATTGATTGACATTTCTGTAAATGCGCCAGAGTTAGCCAACAGGCTATTTTTCATCTGCAGTCCCTGGACAGATGTTGAAAGTCATCCTAAAAAAAATATTTACTTCAAATAACAGGTAAATACAATCAGTAAAACAACATTCAACATAGATGCTTACATTATGATAAAAGCATATATAAAAACTAAACTAAAATACAGATAAACATCTGTTTATACTTCAGCATTTTCTTCCTCCGTTATTCTGTCCTTGTTGCTATTTTGTACAATCGAATAGATGCAAATGTTGGAGAGAATCAATGCCACCAGAGCCCGCAGACAAATTGGAAACTCAGTAATGGCTTCATGCATTAGAAGCTAAAGGATTGGGAATGGATTCATTGATTTCCCTTCTTGTGTAATGGTGGAGCTCAATAGTTTACCCGCTGGATAAACATTTGTGCAGGAATTAGATGAAATACATGGTTCATTTGAAGACATGTTTTTATTATCTTTGCACATCCGTCAGCTTGTAATAGTCCTGTGTTGTCTTATTACGGCCTGTTAAGGATGACAAAGTACAAGTTTCTCTGCTGCTGGTTAGCTGTCCTTTAGTCAGAATGAGTGATCCGTGCCCTCGAGCCCCTGGCCTTAATTCAAAGTGCTTTTAAACCAGAGGGACTGCTGTGTGGCGGCTCTCTGAGAGCGAGCAGAGAGCAGCATCTTAATGAGAGGAGAGGGGAAGGCAGAGATGGATGAGGCTTACAAACACACACAAAACCACCCAGTTTACAGATCTACTTTTTTCACCCACGTTGTGCTTATGTCAGCTTCCTGTAAACTAATGAATTCTCTCTGTTAGACCACTGTTTGAAAGAGTGGAACCACATTAGTCAGAGTTTTCACACAGATTTGTCACCGCCACGTCTCGCAAGTTTTTGTTTTCAAAGTCTTTGAGTGGGGATGAATGGCTAACGGCCCGTCCACACGGCGGCATGCGTTGAAGCTTCAACTCTTCTGCCCATTCACTTTGAATGGGGTGACGTCACGCTTTGCCGAACTGCATTGTGGGAGCGTTGCTCGCTTCAAAAGTTGACAATGTTCAACTTTTGAGGCTTCGGCGGAAGCGTCAGCCAATCAAATCATATGCCAGTACAAGCTCTAGCCAATCAAACCGCGTGCTTGTGTGTCCGGGGCGGGAGATTCATGTGATTGGTTGTTGGTCGAGGTTCAGACACGCCCGCCGGCAAGCTTCAACGCACGCCGCCGTGTGGACGCTTATCAAGATAAAGCAGAGGTGAATGTAATGTTTATGTGGCAGGAGATGGGAGTCTCAAAAACTACCTTTCAAGTTCATTCAGTAGGGGTAGCTTCAGGTAGCAAAATATGGAGGATGGCTATATCAATTTATTCATCAGTAAATGGCTCTATGAAACCTGATGTACTTATAGATTCTGTTTTCTTCAAGTTTGTATCTTCTTGGTCGAATGCACTTATTGTAAGTCGCTTTGGATAAAAGCGTCAGCTAAATGAAATGTAATAAATAAAATAAATGATTTTCTTTATGACGAAGAAAAGCAGAAAATCCTGATTATGTTGGGCATTTTGCTTGAAAAGGTGATCATAGAAAATGGTTACAGATGTTGATCAAGTATAGGATGAATCAAGCAACCTTTCAAAGGATTAATATCGATTGAAACAAAACTTTCAAATCTTCTCAACTTCCAACATCGTCATGTCTAGCTATGAGAGGATACTGCAGCTACAGATTCAATTCAATTTATGATTGAATACCCCGGACACCCATATATTAAATCAACAAAGATACCAAACAGGAGGTGCTAGCAGTTGGGAAATATATGCCTTTTAATTTACTTGACAACAGCCTTAAATAGTAACGTAATTATTCAAATAGTTGGTGATTGATAGTTGTTAAATTAAATAGAACATTAATGAATGGACTCATTTCACCTCTAATGTCTCCAACGTGGCCCAAAAGGTAATAATTTTCAAAACTGATTTTTTTGTTCTGGGGTTTTCACTTCAAACATTTTCACACACCACAAAATCTGCAGTGCCAAAGCCTATTATGATTTAAATATGTTCTTTCCTGTGCTTACCTCAGTGATGGATTACCAAAACTGCTTTTTAAATTCTCTATGGAGTTCCATAGTAGGAAAACTTTGGGTGCAACAAATCATAAAGCAGGCGCTCACACGGGAAACCAAAGAGCTGCATTAAAACACTCCTACTTAACAGTAAAAAGTGCAGGAAACAACTCGGGGAATGTAAGCAGAGACTGTGGAGTCTCTTCGAACTGCATTTCCCCCACAGAGCCATTTATCAGTTAATCTCCAGTGGGAGAGTAATGCAATGATCCATGCACTCTGAAAGCGCTATCATCCACCCAGCTCCCCAAATAGTCTCAATCCTCAGCTGGAGAGGAATGGATCGGTGTGTTGCTGCTCACAGATAATGGGCTTTAAGCCGTCACTTTAATGCAAGGCATTAGGGAACCAAAAGAGATGCGTCACAATGTATTATGCTGCTCAAAAGGAGCTCTAACTAGGGCCGCGTTTCACCATATATGACATGACATCCTGTCGGAGCGTATGCTCTCATAATGCACCTAACTTTTCATTAGTACTGTCTGTCTGTTTCACTGCATCATTTTAATCATCAGTAAATCTGCATTTTATATATAATTTAGTTTAGTTTGGCACATCCAAAAACAGAAAGATATTCGGCTCAATTTCCAACAACAACATGTGTTAGGGCTGCAGCTTCATTCCATCCATCTTTTCTCTCTCTCTTTTTCTCTGTTTTTTTGTCTTCTTTCTGTGCCTTCTGTTTTCTCTCTCTAATTTTCTGACCGTTTATTATTATAACCTTTTTCTCAAATCCCCCGTGACATACTCTGAATGTTTTGTCATTGTAGAACAGCGAATCAGGGGCTAAAATTGCACTTAACATTGTGATCTGACAAACGACTTTACACAGATTACTCTGCAGTTTTTACCCTCGCTGACAGCTCCGCCCCTCACCCTTTGTGCCCCTTGTTTGCATCTACAGCGTCTGCATGAAAAACAGGGTGTCAGGTTTGACCTACAGACTCTGTGTCTGTGTGTGTGTGTGTGTGTGTGTNGCTCCTTATTTTCATCTAAAGTAACAGACACAGAATCAGCACTTTGGAAATTTGACGTGTTTGTTCTGAGCATCCCATAATCCCCTCTGTTTCAGCCCTGTTTCCAAAGTGCTGATTCTGTGTCTGTTACTTTAGATGAAAATAAGGAGCCCCTCCCCACGCCCCTCTGAGAGATATTTGATAAAATAAAATACAATGGTGCTCTAGGAAGAGATTCAGGTGATAAGGGGGGCGGGTGTTACCTTGGTGATTGGCTAATCGTTACACAAGCCAAAAAATCGTTATGACATCATAAAGTGGCCAAAATCTGATCAGCTCATTTTCAGACAGCTTTTTATAAAAATGGATCAGGACAAAAAGTGAGAGAATCTTTTTTCCTGAAACTTTCAGAATCTCTTTACACAGAGGGGAGACGTGTTTATGTATAAAAGACATGAAAAAGTGGATTTTGCACAATAGGTGACCTTTAAGATTGAGTATCACATATACAGAGGAGTGGATTCAGACATGTTCAGACCACACAGATGCCGGGGCGCTAACTACTTCACTGCAGTGGTCTCAGTTTTCTTTATGTCCACAAAGCAAAATGAGCTCATCCCCCGACAAGCTTACTGGTTAATATTTAAACGGCTCACTCGAGTGCAGGGCAGAAAACACAATTGTAAAACCACTGCATTGCTTACATACTGTACAATGTGACTGAGGAAAGGTGTGACCTGGAGGTGAATGATGAATGTGAAAGCTGAAGGTTAGGAGTCAATTGTTTGGGTTTACTGCAGCAGCTCCCAGGGCAACATCCATCAAATATGACGACAGGCTTTTGAAAAGCCTACAGAATACCAGGAGAGCAGGTACACAATCCTTTAAAACAAAGACATTATTTTACAGAAAGCAATTTAATAGAGTGTCTCTCAGGCACTTTGGTCTTTTAAATTATAATACTCCTGGTACTTTCAGAGTAAGGTTTAGAGACTGTACTTAAAAGCAACCTGGTTTCTATCACACACAAGAGAGAGACCACTGCTTTGAAACAAGAACAAGCCAAATTCATCCAATAAGGGTCCTTTGTGTTCACTATTCCTTATTCAAAAGAGTATTCTTAGTTTCCTCAGGGGCTGCTAATGTCCATACCACTCCTTGTCTGTTCTATTAAAACAGACCAACTGTCTACCAGCATTACACACATCTACCTAATTGTCTGTTGCTAACTGAATCGCAATTCGTCTTGGACGCCTTCTGCATTGACTGCTAGTCCCAGGCTCTTGATTTCCCATGAGCCCACCTATCAAACAACTCGGGAGGACCAAATTAAAGCAAATCCAAGCATGTAAAGTGCAATATTAATATGGCAATGATAAAGAAGACCCAGTGACAATAAAAACATGTGTGACACATACTAAAAAGGTAGTTAAATGTGTTGAGCAGGCAATGCAGGCAACTGATTCTCAATGTGCCAAAGTCAAAATAGATACAAATCAGCATGAGGAGGGAAAAAAATCACAACATAGACACAATTTCTAGGTGTTGATTAACATTTAACAGCATGAAAGGACAATGATGATTATACTCTACCTGGTGTAGCATATTGCTGATCCCTGGAAAAATCGATGCCAGCACCAATCAGTGTCATGATCTTCTCGATCTGAGGGCAGGAACAGAAGAGGGAGATAAGAAGCTGTAGGAGCAAATGTAGTCTAGCCTCCACCTCTCACCATAAAAACATCCAGAGAAATGCCCCATGCCGTAAACACTTAACCACCAAACGTAACAGTCTCCCGGCAAAAAGCAAATAACGGCGTTGACGATACGTTAAGTGAGAGAGAAGTCATTTAAAGTGCTTTTATGGTGAGAGAAAAAAAAAAATGTTGAAGGGTATCTGAAGCAACGTGGTTGATTTCCTTTTCATCTCATTTATTAAATGTGGCCTCAGCATTACGCTCATGTGTATCGGCTCTTGGCTGCAGTTAGCAGCGTTTCATCCAAATACAAACCCATTTACAAAGGACGTCTAAGAAATCGGATCACAAAGGAAACGTTTTGTCAGGGCAATCAAGCTAAGAGAAAAGGTGTCGAGTCTAAGAAAACAATAAAGAAACAGGTGATTTATGGTTTCCTTTCATTTACAAAGGTCTCAGAGAAAGTAGTTCTCTGACTGTGTCATATGGTTGCTTCAATAACATTTACACAACTGTTGATTTTGAGGCAGCTGAGGGTCTTAATTCAAAGTAAAGAAGGGGTTAAAATAATACACAGAGAGCCTAAGAAGAAAGGGCACTAGCTATAACTTTCAAGATACCCAGATCCCCAGGGTTTATTGCAATAGTTTCATGCATTTGTACAGAATGCATGTATCTATTACTGCTGTGTTTCCATCAAGCATGGTCCCTGACATTCACGTGTCAAGGACAAAAAGAACATTTCCTTGAAATGCGTTCATAAGGGCACCGAAGCAGCAGAGGGCAATTGAGATGCAATATCACACCTGTCACCGCACAGAAACATGGCTCCCCCTTTCAACTATAACCATGGTATGCATAGACATTGAGTGCAGAAAAATGAAAGAAAAAAGGAGAGAGACTGACAGGGCTGTCGTCAAACCTGTGTCATTGAAAAACTTTTAATAAAAAATTGAGTATACAACTCTTTACCATTGCTTTTGGAAATATTTCATCTGAGGCAAAAGTCCTGGCTGCTTTACTTAAAGCCATGACAAATAATATATCTCATTATTATCATTATAATAAGGCAATAGTGCTATCGTCAAAAGCCTTCATTTAATCATCAATCTGTACAAGGATGCTTAGAAGTGAGATAGCATCTAAATGAAAAAGAAATGTCAGAGAGAGAAATCCAGCTTGGAAGAACCATCCATCTGTCTTTCTGTGCTGCTGTTAGACCGGACAGTAAATGTTAAATCAGAGCTTTTAGACTTGCTTAGAAGAAGAAATGAATAATCACTGAGATGATATCATTGGAAAGGGTTCATGAAACCTGAAAGGATCCCATCTATCTCTACAGAGCATGCCCCAGAAGAGGACAGAGCCAAACCCCCAAAAGGACCACGAGATATTTGTATGAAGGATGCATTTCTTACGCTGTCAACAGAATTAGATCTTCTGTGTTTGGTGGTGGAAGAAGTCGTAGGTTTCTGCTAAAAGAGAACTCAAGGTTTTGTTTTGCCCTTCTTCCGTGTACCTACTACACTCTGCCAGCTTTTCTATGGCAAAACGGAATCGAAATCAGCCTGTTTTATACAAAGATCCCCTACAGAGTACAGAAAACATTCAACTGAACACACAAATGGAAAATTTGACATATATAGAGAATGAGCTATGTGTTTGTTATGATACAATTATTGAAAAATCAATGGAAGAATCCATCGTCCTGAAGATCACACACAATGCTGAACATATGTTTTACACTGCCTTCTGTTATTTTTCGATGAACCCTAAGCATATCAGAGAAAAAAAACTGTAATTCTAGTAAGAGGTGAGAAACAAAGTGGATCACAACATTTACGTTATCCATCTGCCCGGTGTTCCTTCTCCATACTGTTGATTAAAATACACCATAATGACCAGATGGTAGATTAGTCCCACAAGCTTCTCAAATAACCTCCATCTATCTAGGGATGGGTATCGTTAGGCTTTTATCGATACCGGTACCGCTTATCGGTATTTTTCGATACTCTTATCGATACTTTCCAATAATATGGTGTTAATAAACTAAAAAAAGACAAGGCGATGTGCCTGCAAGAATGCACTCAGGTAAACAAAACATATTACCCGTGCGCAGCAGCTAACCTGCCTGCGAGCCTTCGCTCAGGTCACATTTACACACGGCGCGGCTGAAGCCCGCTAGCACTATTAGCACTAGCAGTATCGCTAGCACCGTTTTAGATTCAATGAGTTTCTCGTTTGCAAATGCTTCATTAAGTTGCTTGTGTCACCCCCTTTACAAGCAACTAATTGAGTACATAGATTGCACCTTGCACTATCGCCACTACATTTTTTAAAGTGCACCCAGAACTTGGATCGCTTCGCTCTGTCCGCCATGCCTGCGGGAGTCTCACAACAATAATAAGAGCGCTGTTGAGAGAGATGAGGAGTGGCATTTACAGTGGCCAATCAGAGGGGTCTCAAACCGGATACATCACACGGGATGAGGGTTCCCAACCAACCAGAATGGTTTAAAGTTAAACTAAGGAAGTAGACGTAACAGATATACCGATAGCAGCACCGTTTGTCCAGCGGCTTAACGGTATACCGATACCGTTCAATCAGGTACCGTTATTGACTTAGTACCGGTTCTCGGTACCCATCCCTATGACGCCACACGTCTCTACTTCAGTCATTAAACAGAAGAGTGGACGATGAGTGCGCAGCTCGTCTCCTACCTAAGGAATGACTGAGCAAACAAGGATGAGTCAGCAAAAGAAAGGTTCTGTTTTCAGAGAGTGTCTCTTCATGGGTCAGTGGTTTCATTGTGCTTAACCAAACAGAAAATATCCTCGCCATACCCTCACTTAAAACCAGGTATATGCACAGTATAAACAGCTGGACGACAGGGTGCTTGGCTTTAATATTTGAGGAATAATTGCCAATAATAAAGTGTCCTTATTTGACATTGGGTGTAGGAGGTACGCAGTGTTTCATTCTTTTTTTCTCCCCCCCCCCCTAACACATTTTGGGAGATTGAATTCTTGCAGAAAGTCGGATGAGAAGATCCCAAAATGATACATATACACATACTCCAGTTAAAGACTAACAACATTGTTTATTTGGAGTTGTGTCGCTCGACATGTGATGAAAATAAATCCAATAGTCACCCTCTTTAAAATCTGACTTTGGTCTGTATCATTGTCTGAGAATAATATCTGGCTCTTTAGCTGCTAAATGCTCCACTATGTTCATCAGTGAGTCGCAAATGGTGTCTGTCTGTGTTTTTTTTGCTGAGCAGGGGCAGCACTTTACTGTTGCTCCCATAATAACCTCAATGATAAGGCCTTAGCAGGACAATTAGAAAGCTGCTGATATACACTGGTATTAATCAGGGGTCCAATATGTAAAATCACACACACACAAAGCAGTTGTAGCCCCTGTGATAATGAGGACAGGGGGCAGTGATCTCATCTCATAAAGTGGCCGAGGTCTTTACTGAAGGGAGAAGGATCCTCATGTCGGTGGCATCCTTTCCCAGCAACGAGCAGAATACAGCGCTATAAAAAATTGACATGCAATCAAAATGCCAAGGTTGTTTCTTCAGCTCGCAGGGGATACCATGTACTTTTAAACAGCAAGTTGTTATATTAATTTCCCTTCTATTGATGCATCTGAAACAACCTCAGGATACCTTTCTAAATTCCTCAGTGTATACGAATAAAGAAATAAAGATAATATCTGACAATGGACCAAGATTTTTCTTTCAAACAATCGGCTGCTTTTAGTCTTGGTGTATCAGCCTATCTAACAAGTTTAACAAAAAAGGGAATACTGGCTGCTCCGCCGAGATTCAGAAGCAGCTACTGTGGAAGGCAGGTGTGATATACTGCTGGAGCTGCGTAAATATATCCTTATCAGGGGACACCGCACAATGATTTCCTCAAGGTAAAACACATCCACTACAAGAAAGAGCTTCTGAGTTTCATGGTCGAGGACAAAGAAGCTCGATGCCATGAGAATTAATAAAGGAGAGGGAGAGGAATGTGTTTTTGTGCTGCAGGATCGAATCAATACAGAGACCTGAAATGGAGAGGCGTCCATTGTGAGCAGGACTCGCCATGAGGAGGGAGATACAAAGAGGAGGGTCAGAAGTCAGGGGAGGGGCGGAGGCCAACAGCTGAAGAGCCAGCGGTGATGGGAGATGGTCGGGAGATTAAAGACACATGGACCCATTTATCATGCTTCTCACAGCAGGACAGCTACTCCAGGAAAGACTGTGTTTAAAGAAAAGTGTTCTTTCTTTCTCAGCCTTGAGAAACTTGAACAATGCCAAACTAAATCTCAGAGACGGGGAGAGCTAAAGGACGCCTGGCAGAGCTTGTTCGGGGTGAAACAAAAGGCTGCTGCAGAGAGAGTGTGCCCGGACCACCGACCTCAACTTGGCAAGCTGGCACCAAAACAAGGCTTGGATGAAAACTATGGACTAGTGAATGTGCATCAAGGGGAACACAAGTGCACCACCGTCTAAAGAGGGTGCCAACACCTCAATGCCACAGTGGGACAAAGCTCTGTCAGCAGTCCCATCATCATCATCATCATCATCCTCCTAAAATAGCCCAAGGACATGTCCCTTCTGTACAACCTCGTAAACTTTGCGAAATTACCCCCAAAGGAGGTAGAAATATATATAAAACCTTCCATTAAGTTGAAATCCTCTGTAGAAGTTGGAACAGAGAGGGCAGCCTCTCTTTCGTTCCAATGACCAGACAAACACTAAGTAGTGGCTGCATGTCTCAGCTCCCTGTGGTTCTCCTGATGGGGATTAGAGAATAGATGGGCCCTGCTGGTTGCCCCAGGCCGTGACACACACCCACAGTTCGGTTTGATCTCTGCAGGTCAAATAGACAAAACTTCCATGAAACAAACAGCAAGGCCACTTGTCTCCTGACGGAAAATAAAAGATCCGAACAAATCCATAATGAGTTGAAGAACATGGCAAAACCAGAACAAAGAGATAATGCATGAATTGGCTGTTGATTTAAAAAAAAATGTATTTCAAAGAACACACTCAAAAGAAAAACGTGAGGGAGACCTCTTGTTCTATTGTGCCGTATTTAGCCATGAGCGCATGCTAAACGAACAGGCTTAACAAGAAATACATTATCCAAGGAAATGCTAGAAAGCTTCAATTATTTCCCCATTCAGTTCACTCATGACAGGAAGACAAGATCCTCCAGTGGACCTGCAGCCTGGAAGGGGAATCAATACTCACAAAAGCTGGTTTCATAGTGGATCTGTGGAGTGCGAACAGGAGAATGAAGTTGAAAGTGAAGCGAGGCTGTGGATGGCGGCCCTCTCCTTCTGTCTACAGCTCTCCCACTCTCTCTCTCCTCCCATCTGTGGAGCTCAGTGAGCTGGCCCACACAATGCGCCCCCCGGATTGTCATCTCCAGTCTGATCCCAAGGACCAAGACCAAGCGGCATTAGCATACACAACAGCACACACCCCGCACGTAGAGCTCAACACACACACACATGCAGAGAGCTCCCTCAAATGGAGAGATGCATAGGCCAAGACCCTCATGCAAGTCAAATCTCCTTGTCTTGAAACCAGAGGCATCCAAGAGTGTGTGTGAAGAAAGGGAGGGAGTATCACAGATATAGAAAGAAGAGGAAGGAGGGTGTGAGAACGGGAGTATTTAGCAAACCAGATTACAAGAGCAGAAGGATGGTTTTGAAAGGGGTTTGTGTTTTAGGGTAATGTCCTGGGACCCTTCGCCCCAAACGGTGTCACACAGCATAGGAGAGTTGTGACAGGCAAAATGGCTGCCAATCTCAGATAGTGCAACGGGAAAGAAAACACTGTAGAAGCAGCCATATGGGCCAAGGAGAGGGAGAGAGAGGGAGAGAGAGGGAGAGAAGTAGAGTTTTCATTTTCAGGGGGACACTCCCTACATCATTAAAGAGAGTGCAGGCTAGGTTACACCCAATCAAACTTTAACTACTCTCCCCGCGCACTGCTCTCATTCGAAATGCACTTTATATCGGCAGTGTGAATATTTCCATTTCAAGCTAATGCAGGTTTATTTTCTGAAAGGGGAAGGAGAAGAAAGATGGGCCGCTCGCCTTTTCCTTTCAGCACTGAGCTCAAAGGAATCCGAATCACTATTCAATCGAGAAGAAACAGACTTCCGAGTTATTTAACACTTACTAAGGCTCTGAGATTGGATAAAAGAAGTTGCCTTTTCAAAAGAAATACTAACAGACTGCCAACCAAAGATTCTAATAAACATCGTATTGCTTTGAAATGAATCAAAATCTTTGATTTGGGCATTGTGCAATCAGTGCAAATAGAAAAGGTGTCACTGCTGCAACCCACTTCTTTATACATTATTTCTGAGGCAGTGTGGCTTATATTTTGCACATTGCAGCTTTGGGTTTCTACATGATAAATTAATTCTAGCTGCATTGCATGAATGAGAGATGTATTGGTTTAGCTGACAGGCTGAGGCACACACACACACACACACACACACACACACACACACACACACACGGGGGGGGGGATATATTTGATTCTGCGCTGACAACCAGAGAAAAATCGTACATTTCAAGGTCAACTTGATTGTTAGTATTAAGCCAAACAATTTCATCTTAAAGCCAGCAGTGTGTAGAGTAAATAAAATGCAGTCCATGCTATGAATTAATAATTAAGGATGAATTGTGATGCTGGTTGCCAGCAGCCTACTTTAGGATTTTAAATAAGCTTTTTGGCATTACGATGGACTGTAAGCTGGCTGGTTCACTCAGTAACACACACTGGTATGAAGCATACATAAATGAGGCCATTGCCTGGAGTGGATCTCCTTTTCCCTGATAAGATCTCCTCTTTGGTTAGATGTCAATAATGCAGCCTGTTCTCCGGCCACATGGGAGGACAGCAATACCTTCTCCTCTGCAGCCTGTATTTCTCAGCTAATATTCTTCAGTTCCTCTATGCGAAAGCTCCCAGAGAAGAGAACAGAAGCGCTACACTAAACTATGGCTGACTGCTGAGAGCATCGGGGGAAGAGAAGCAATCTTCGAACACCAAGCAATGTCATGGCCGCCTTAATCATGTCACGCTCTCTGAGACCACGTCGCTCAGACAGTCTGAGGAGGTGAGGGGTCTGTTAAACCTGATCATTAGACTGTACAGTGGAAATTAAAAGACTCAAGCAAACTAAATGTTCCCTTTTGTGTTGACCTCATTTCCCAACTGGACCACAATGCACTGCAGAGAGACAATGACATCACAGAAGAAGTGTCAACACTGTCCTAATATCTTTAGTGAAGGTTTTGGTTCAGCATCTGATTGAAATGGTGATAGAGATAGACTCGGGTTGTCCACCAGAGAGCACTGACATGTTGGTTTTATTACGGTAAATGTACCCTCTTAATAACAATCTTCATCTTAATTATTATTAACAAATATAAGGGAATTGTTCAAGAAAGATATGAGTTTATGTTAAAGAAACAAATACCATCACAAAAATAAAAGCTTATTTAAACCGTCAGATATTGATATCCATATCAGCTACACAAATGCAGAATTAGCACAGCTATTTAATGTATGACATCTGTTGACTACATAATTAATCCCAAAATGAAAGATTAATAGAAAAATCAATAATTAAAAGTATATGTTGATTTTTTCTTTTTCATTTGTGACAAGCAAATGTAGACATTTTATAGCGGAAACACTGTTCAACATATCTCTGGCTGTTGTGTCATTGGTTGTGTTTCTTTAGTAGTCGTCCTAAACATAGAGATGACTACATTTGCCTTTCATCCCAAAAATCAGCACTCAAGTCAAACTAGGGCATTGCCACTATAATGGAGGTATAGGTTATTGTGTGTGAAATAAACTGACCGCACATAGAGAAGGTCTGAAGGTCAGTTATTTCCGCAACTTTAGTCAAATACTACTTTCAATTTCTGTGAGTGTGTCCTTGGCAGGCTCTGGCAATACAATAAAATGAAATGATATTGCTGAAGTAGATTAAGATTGAAACCCTTCTTGTGGCCCTGACGATCCTAAAGACAAGGTTACATAGAAGCTGCTGAAGTGTTAATCTTTCCCTTCAGTCTAGAAAACAAGTTTGAAATTTGACAAACTGCTGTAAGGGGCCTTGTGCACCCCTCTCCATCTGAGTGTTGTTTCCAGGCAGAACAAACATTGGGTTATTTTTGCTGTCATGCCAAAAGGCCCCTCAAAGACCTTCTCCTCAAGTACAGCTTTGTTGTAAGTGGGCTAGTATGACAGCTATCACCCTTAAAGCTACAACATAAACACAACATCTGGCACAGTTTTATGGCTGCACGTAACCATAATAAATAATAAATCTGCACTCTCACAGTAGACTTGAGTAAATGAGATCATTAGAGAAGAGATCCAACAATAAAGTCATAAAGATTATACAGTGAAGCAAAACGTTACAGCTATAATACATAATTCAGGTTTTGCTGTGCAGGTCAGAAGAAGCTCTACAGAGATATACTACTGCAATGATATTTTGTATTCTGTTTAATTTCCCCATACAGAACAACAAGGCAGCCCTGCTCTGAACGCTTTAATACGGAAGAGGTTATTTAAGCGATCAAAGAAGAGAACAATTCCCGACAACCAGCGAACAAACCACTGCCCAGAGCATCACAGATATCGACCTCCGAGCTGCTCTTATCTCAGCGGGATACTTCTGAAAGGAGCGTGTAAAGAAACACTGTGCAGCAATACAATCTCCTCACGGTGGAGAGAAGAAGGCATTAGCGGTGCTATCTGAGCCCCATGATTTCCTCCTGATGGTCTGGCGTCACAAACACAACTTGTCAGACATCTCTCGGACTAAGCTGCGCCTCGGTGTAGCAATCATCGTAAGAGAGAGGCATGTTGTCGGCAGCAGAAACAGAGCAGAACACAAACAACGTCAGGGAACATTACTAAGAGAATAGCTTGTGCCAATGCTCAATCCAGAGCCCTGGAGGATATCATTAATACGACTCACAATGGGAGGATTGTTGAAGGAAAATGGGGGAAAAGCCTAAAAAAGGAAAACGTGTTAACTTGTATGACCTCCTGCTAGTTCATTATTATATAAGCTTACATTACAGACGATACATATGTAGCGATAAGGGGTGGTAGAGTTACGCTTGCAGCAGAGTGTTTAGAAACAGGGATTTTATATGTAATAATCCGACACTTGTTCAGTTTTGTGTGTATCATGTGTTGTCTCTGCAGAGGCTCCGGTTCATTTTAGGATCCGACGCAATAGAAGTAGACAGGAGCTAAAGGAAGACAGATCTGCAGCTTGTATTTTCGCTCTGAATCTCAATTTCCAAATCTCTGCCTGTTGTCTTACACAGCCTTTTCTATCCCCATATTCTAGTCTCTTCTAATCTCCTCTCTCTCTGGCTCGACTCAGCTCTTTATCCCAGACAAAGCATTAAAGTGCTGAATGGAGGGGTATATTTACCTATAAACACCCACTGTGATCACAAACACAAACCATGAATGAGAAAATAAACGTTCACTAAATGAATGCCAAGTCAAATATTCACCATGATGCAAAATGCTTCGTGGAACAACGTAAGCAACGAAACACGATTTTTGGGAGACATGGAATTGAAAGACCTTCACTATTTACTTGAACACTTTTTCCATCACAGTCATTGTGTTTACTGAACGTTTGTGTCCCCTTAAGACAACAGGTGGGCTTTGAGTTGACAGAATGGGAACACAGTGGAAGTTTGTGGAAGTTAACTACAATCAACAGAGTTGTTGACGGTCGGTATTGAGGTTCTCACTCCATCAAAAGTTTTGTTGTTGTGGATTAATGCCTTGTGGCTGCAGCACTAGAACAAGCTGACTTAAGCCTTACAAGTGGGGCTTTGTCAAAAAAGGGACACACTGTACACAAGAGGAATCCTAGAAAATATTCTCACACAACTTATACTGTATATATATTTGGATTCATGTTGCAAGTCTACATTTTAAATAAAAAACTTTTATACAAGCTGTATCCATGAATTGTTGTATTGTTGTGTCGTATCTGCGTAGTCCTTTGACTGTGTTCCTACACGGTATCAAGCTTTTCAGTTTTCTCATTTATCCAATAGTTTTTCTTTATGCTGAAGAAATATCTTGCAGTTCGATTACTGAATATGTTTTGCTTTTGAACTTATTAAGCACCTTTAAAAACTGTAACCTTGTCCAAAGTATAGTTATTTTTACAGAACTATAAAGTACAAATACTAATGGTAACACTAACACTTACCTCGTCCCATTCTGAGGTGAAAGAGGGAGATTTCTCGAGCCTCTTTTTGCCAGTGCTACAGTTAGAAACCGACTCGCTGCGGTTTCCCAATCCTCCGTCCTCCTCACTAGGGGGCGATACGAGCAGGTCCGAGTCCGACTTGGAGAGGCTGCGTGCCAGCTTCAGGTCCCCGGGGGGGCGCATCCTAACAGAAGACCCTGCCCCGAAGTCTCTGGGCTCCTTATTCACAGTTGCATAAATTGCTTTGGGGTCACAGTCTGTCAGGATGGCGGCCATACTGGGACGGCTAGGTGGCGGTGAAGCCGCGGCTACTTCCCCCTTTACTTTGGCAGATTTCTTTGATTCTGGCTGGCTCTGGTTGGATGGCTCGACACCTGGAAGTCTGAAGGGCTCCTCGCGGCTGTCGAACACAGGAGAGGATCCGTGCAGGAGGCCAGTGAACTGCTCCAGGACACCTGCCTCCGGATCCTCGCTGAGCTGGGAGTTATCTGGAGAGACAGGAACGGAAAGAAAGTTAGAGAAGAGAGTAGTTTGTGAGGGCTGGAGAGAAAGTTTCTAACTGAAGGGCAGATCCTCGGAGCAGGGTTAATAAGAAACCGCCCACACAAGCCAAGAAACAGATCTGTAATTGTTTCCTACCAGGAGTGACGGAGAGAAAAAGAAGGAGAGATGGAGCAAGGAGAAGGCGTATGTTGGCTGGAGAAAATAACAGAATTCCAAACAGCTTGCAGCCGTCTGCTGGTGCCCGACTGCCTTTATTTTGTCATTGAAGCTAGTCATCATTGTGACTCGCCTTACCTCACAGGGCCTCGTCTGTTCGCTCCATTTTCCCCAAGATGACACTGAAAAGTCCCACGAGCTACAGACTACACTTGCATGCAAACATCCACATAACTGTCCACAATCACACATTCAAATATGTAAAAGAAAGGTGAAACTTACATAAGCTGCCTTCTCAACCAAAACAACTCCTTAATAGCCACAGCAATTAAAAACAATTGGATTTTCCTCCTCCCTCTCCCTGAGGAATTCCTGCCACCTAAGCCTCTTTTCCACTATGAAGTCAGCCACAGAATGCCAGTGGCTTTTGCCATCCTCTTTGGCTTTAGAAAAAACACAAGTCTGCGTGGTTCTGTAGCCATCTCCCCGTGAACGGCAGTGATGCGAATTGTTGTCTGCCGGGTGAGTGACCAGCAGCCCTTTGAGTTTTCTGTTTTCTAATTCTGGACCTAAATGGTGGCTCAGGAATGGAAATTTGAATCGCCCTATCCTCCCGCAGCCAGACTCCTGATAATTAGCCCTGCTGCGACACATGGTGAAGGAGTGTGTCTGTAAGGTGTGTGTGGTCTGTCTCTGCCAGGGTGACAGGGTCAGGGTGTTTGGTGACAGCGAATCTGGGACGCTCACACCACAGGATAAGTATTGACCTGTTGCAACACTTAGTTTGTCCTTCAGAGAAGAGTTTGAGCAAAATGTTCTGCTAGCAATTTGTGGTTCAGCTCTGCTATCACTCAACCCTGCTGTTCAAAGAATGAAAACATCAGAAGAGTTGGCTGCGAAGGAGTAATATCGAAGGGATACATCTCGACTGTTAGACACGCAAACTCACGCCGTCTCCGCCAAACTGCCCCATTATCCTTGCAGGGGCAGTGCAACGCCCAAAAAACTCCCCTTTTCACAAGTTTCTCAACACTTGAACATCCAGGAAATGTGTGTGTGTGGGTGTTTGTGTGTGTTATAAGGGGTGAGTGAGTGTACGCATACATATGTCAGGACCACAGCCAGACACCCACCCACCCACCCTCTCTGAGGCAGCTGGGGAGTGTGAACGCCCTGTGAGCACATCAACTTGCTTCCAACAATCTCACATTGATGTTAACCCCTGCCGCTCATACAGTACTATGTTGGAGAATGTGCGCTGGCTGATTCTGATGTTACTGCAGCTCATGGATGGGTGAGGTCACCACAGAGTCGGGGGGGGTGTTTGTATTTCATTTGGCCAAGAAGGCTCCATGTCTGAATAATGATGTCAGGTTTGTTTTGCAGACACTGCAGTGCAGGCTGTCAATCCAGCGTTTACACAGCCCCAAAGTCAACGCGTGCTCTGCCTGTGAAAACTCTGCTCTGTTAATATTGCAGATAGAAGATATTTTTATCCTCGGTTTTATACTGCAGAAAGTCAATAAAGAAATAAAGGCTTTCTCATCGATGTTTGGACATTTATAGAAAAGTGAGTAAACAAATGCTTATATCGACAATGCCGGTCAATAAAGGACAAGTCACTACCCACAATCCCATTCAACAGCGTACTCAGAATTATGAAAGAACATACCATCTTGTTAAATTATGTAAATGTACCCAAGTGAAACTAATGTTTAAAAAGACTTAGACGGATACATCTGGTTAGATATGAAAGAAGTTGAACATGGTTTTGTTGGGAGACAGGTGCTTTTCATCTACAGCCTTTCTGCATGTATCTGTGGTATTTCATTTCACAACAGCAATCCAAACAACGGTACATTTTGGAAAAAACATTCAAAGCTTTCGATGAACCATACAGTAAATGCTTTATAGCACTAGAGGGAACTTAAAACTGTAAAAGCTGCACATCCAGCATGAAGAAAAGAGTCAAGTTAGATTCCTCACTACCACTGTTCATAACCGTGTCCCATGGAAACCACATGTTTGTTTCCTGTGGAGAATCATAGGACATGACTCCTCGTGGGAAATGTCCTTTGGAAACCCGATGAAAACACGACGCAGAGGTGGAAATCTGTTGGGAAACACTGGATTCCTGCTGAGGACAGCGATGTGTTTGTGACAGATTATAAACACTGTGATATCGCTGACTGTGCATATCTCCTCCACCTGTCACAGTGCTGAGCTCTGGTCCCTGACCGTCCTCACAGGGGGGAGAAACCAGAGCTCAGATCGCCTCAATCACAATGAATTCCCACGTCCACGGGAGAAGAGCTAAACTCAGGCAGCTGTCCAAGTTTATGTAAAACACTAACGTGGGAACGGTGCATTTAACTTGCTGACGTGCATAATAACAATGTGGTACTTCCATATTAACAGACGTGTGGTTTTTGTGGCTTTAAAAAAGGAAAAAGAGAGTACAACTCGGGTATCACTCATGACTATGTGCCATGAAAAGGGAAATAAAGGGCTTTCCGTGCTTTAATAAGTGTTTAATATTTCCCTTACTGCCCAAAACACCAGCTGTTAAGCAACACTTCTCATACTGGCCCTCCTATTCTTGAGTCGTGTGCCAAAACATCTGCATGAATATGCACGCGATTGACAATAAAAATCCATTTAAATGATTTATTTACCGGTAGTCTATTAGACCAATCAGAAATGGCTATGTATCAACATTAAGGTGTAATGACACCAAACAGAGACTACACGCATGAGAATCAATGCTGGTACATGCTGTGCTGTCAGCTTTGATAATCATCATCAGTTTTCTAAAAGCAGTACAATCAGGAAACCACATGCTCACGGATGAAAAAGATTTTTCAATTTCCATGTGTGCCTACTTAAATAGGTTCAACAAAGTTGACATGATTAATAGATTGTTAAGTTAGATCTTTAAAACCGATGTTGCTGCAGCCCATCTATAAATTATTTTGCACCAAATTACTTCTGACTCTTTCTCACAACCACAGTAAAGAAATGATTCAACAACAATAGTGAAAAAAGTGTCCAGAGCACCATCAAATATGCTTACCTACCATGATTCATCCAATAGCTTCTTTATCAGACATTCAGAATTATTCAATGAAGATATCTGTATGTGTTTCTGTCAAAATCCAGAGTCATTGCCCCTTACCTCCACTCCACGCTTGACTGGATGACGTGGCATATCCAGCTTTAAGCGGGATGTTGAGATAGGAATATCACAATCTGATCAAGAATTCGGTTTCATATTGGCAATGAAATGAGTATTTACCGCTTGCCAGGGAATGCCAATCAGCCTGACAAGTCAAATCCGCTCTGCTGCTCCAGAATGCCAATCATGCGTTCCTCACAGTGCTAATCCAAGCCTGCCAGCTCACCCTGCACACTCAACGCTCCTCTCCCATTTCATTGACATGCTTGGTTGTGTTTCCCCAAGTCTGAAGTGTCCAGTCCATCTTTTCTCTCTCCTCACAGTATTGCCAGCAGCAGTTGTTGTTCATTATAAGGTTACACAAAATCGGAGACGTCAAACTCACCTCCTGGTGTCCGTGGGCTCGACCGTCCTGGAGGGTGCAGGGTGTCTTTCGTCTTGCTCTGGGCTCTGAGGTCGTTTGGGGCCGAGGGTTTACGCTAAAGTGGGTCAGGAACAGAACATTTTTTTTTAATTACACCTGCCAATCAAAATGTACACCCAAACACAATCGTTTAAGCATATGCAGGGAATACGCTAAAAGCCATGGCTATATGTTCAGCTAGCCTATATATATATATATATATGTGTGTACATACATACACACCGGTTAACAATGTATTTCTATTGGCTGCCATCTTTTAGTTATTCAACTATTTAACTACTGTAACACAATCTGTAATCCATGTGCGATATATACTTTATACTGTTATCTGGCTGCTATCACACTACTTCTACATGATACACTTATTCTAATTGTTTTAATAATGTTAATGTACTTATTGTTGTCCACCTGGTTCACTACTTTTTGTAAATTGTAATTTGTGTAATTTCTCTGTCTAATATGCAATGCATGCCTCTTAATTTATATTTTTGCTGTAACAATGTAAATGTCTCATTTGTGGGACTAATAAAGGTATTCTGAGTCTGATTCTAATAGATTAGCATAAAATGATATCCTATTGTTTGTCGTCATGGCAGTACTGGTTTGCCCACCTCAGCCATAATGTAGCTTGGCTCACCAGGCTGTACATTAGAGCAGAGAGGACACTATCATTTATTATGATTAGGCAGCCGGGGAGCACAGCTAATCCAATAGGAGCTTAAAATAAAAGATGCAAGCAGATACTGTGGGCAGCAGGCGGGGTTGTGGGTGGGAGGCAGTGATAATAAAACTGCTAACTGGCTGATACATTTGGAAAAGGTGATAAGATAAGATATAATAGGAGAATAAATAGAACAGGCGGGTTTGCACAGGCACAGTTATGAGGGCTGGTTTAAGACGACTTCTGCCTACTGCTGACATATGACTCAATCTGTGACTGTGAGGAGACCTTCATCTTCATTATATAACCTGCTGCGGTCGTGTGGTCATGCTCCAGATATTTAATTCAAGTTGCAGCTGGGATACGGTTCTGACTGTTAAAACTCCATCCATATGTGTTTTGTAAAACTTGCACTTGCAGAAGGATTTACTGAAGGATTTTGCAACTGGAAGGCATTAAAGGATGAGACAAGAGGTATTGCCAAACGCAAAATTACTCTTTGATGTAAGTAAGTAAGTGAAGTTTATTCATAAGGCGCTTTTCACAGACGAAGTGCTTCACAAAACAATAAGACTTCAACATAAGAGGCGTACGATGATCAATGAACCCACAAAACACATGTTAAGAAGTCATAAAAGCACCAGAGCATAATTAAGACACAATAAAACAAAACTTACAAATGAAATTTAAAACAAACAAAATAAAAACATAGTATTAAATGGAATAAAATCAGGCACACCGGTTACCCAAACAGGAATGTCTTTAAAATAGTTTTAAAAGAGTCAGACTCCGCAGACCGTAGATGAGCATTCCATAATTTAGGATCACCGCGGGTGTTAAGGTGGGTACGTGGGACAGACAGTACATTTTGTCTGTGAGACCTTATATGATGTATAAGGGTGAATTAAGTCGGCCACATAAGCAGGAGTCTGACCGTGCAAAGCTCTGTAGGTGAGAGTGAGGATTTTGAGGGTTAAAGGCGTGAAACATATGAGAAGTATAAAAGGAAGAATGTTAAATACCTGAGGTAGGACACTGTTGGAAGATTGTGTAGTGGTGTTCTCATCTGAGGAGAAAACATATGAGTTAGGACAAAGTTTGGGCAGTCCTGACCCATTGCTCAATATGTTAATATGACAGTGTGTTGCTCCTTCTGATCGTCAGAACAGACATGAAGCTAGGGGTAAGTGAAAGTGATGTAATAAAACCATTTATTATGCATGGCGACATATCAGTCAAACAGAATTCCTCCTTGCCATTTAAACACCGCTGGGTATCCTGACAGGATAAAGCCGCTTTAAAACAGATAGGAACTAATCGCTTAACATTTCTCCACGACTCAAGGGTAGATGACGCAGGACAGTGAAGAATCACTTTGTTTCTAACACCATCATTTATCCACATAGGGGGAGGCATGATGACATCAGCGATTAAAATCCAACCCTTCAGCTCAGTGACGTTTTCTTAAGAGACTAGTGAGGCTGAGTAAGCTGGAGGGCCCAAGGGGATGGTTTTAAAACATCTGCATTAACAGCCATGAATCAAAATGGCCACCTAATTTAATCCCATTTAATCCAATTACATGCAGTGCCATTCATCAGGCACAACTAAGGAGGGTCTGCTCATGTACGGCAAACACAGTCGTGGCAAAGGTTGACCATGTGTGTGTAGGTGGCCTTTGTGATTAGGAGAGGAATGCATTCAGGGTCCGTTGACAGCATCAGTGGAGATTAAAGAAGTATTTGGGTTAAAAGGAACCAGGTCTTCGCAAATTCAGCTTTAATCCTGCCAGGAATGAGGCGTCACTGGTATGCAAAGCAGTAGTGAGGGTATGTCGTTTACCCAGGGAAAAGAAATATAATTTAAAGGAATGCATACTCTGGATGTGCACATATTTTTCCCGGCTGGATTATACTTTAAACACACAATTACTTTTATTGGATTGGGAGTCGTGGCAGGGCGATGCGTGTTTGGTCTGAGCGGTCAGCAGCAACTCATACGTGTGATCCTCCTCCACCGGCTCGCCTCTCTCATCAATACTGCTGTTAGTATACAGGGCCTGTAGAAAGAGACACCAAGGGAGTGGAGGTGAGGAGAAAGTGACAAAGTGAAAAGAAAATGTAATGCAACTTGGACAGATTGTTATATTTTATGATCCAACTGCGTCCTTCCGGGAGTAAAAAATAGGGTCTTGCCTTAAAAATACAACGCCTTAAAGGTGGGGTAGGTAATTTTGGAGAAACCAGCTCGAGTGCGCTAGAATTTGAAAATACACAGCCGGAAGAAATCTGCCACTTCCTTACAGAGCCCCTCCTCCAACGCACACGAACGCGCACATGACCAATGAGGGCACGAGATAAGTTTGTGCACAGATGGAAGGCTGACAGGCAGGTAGGCCATCCAGTTATTTTAGCCGGGCCGGCTCAGATGATTGGTTGTTCTTTTTACAGCGCCACGGCTTCCACAGATGACATTTTTTTATGGATTTTTTGTCAAAGCACTTCAGATATTCATTGCTATCGGGGTGTTATGAGCATTCCGTGGAATATAACAAAAAGTGTATCTCGAGCCGGTTTCTCAAACTTACCTACCCCACCTTTAATTGTATTTTAATAGCGCAGTGTCTATGAGAAGCCACAGTTGAGGTCAGACTTCAGATTTCTAAAAAATATATTTCACACTTTTACTTTCTTCATGCGCCCCCTGCTTTTGTCACATAAATGAATATTTATCAAGAAGTGGCTTGATTTGAGCAATAACCGTGAAGAAAGGGGTTGTGGCAACAAAAAAAAGTGACTATGACATGGCAGTAATTCTTCACCATGTCCGACCTCTTAGAGGAACTAACCTTTTGAAAACCTGTCCTGCCATGACTCTCACATGCACACAGCACATATTAGAATATGTGGTTGAAAATGGGAACAAGTTTGTACTGGCTTCATGATCTCATATCCCACTTTTAAGCTTACCTCTTCTTCATGACCCGGACCAGGATGTAACGAGTGGCCCAAGCGATCTTTCTGCAAAAGATACAAATGATAAGACCTAATAAATACATAGTATCAAATTGATTATTATTCATTAGTGTATTGCAAGAACTAAGTTAAGCAATGAATTACATCTTCACTGTGTACCACGAGAGGTTTAATGCTGGAGGGGTTTGAGGCCCTGTCAAGTGGAAAGAAGACCACTATCACCCTCTAGTGGGAGTTCTGCACTTCACCTCATATGCAACTATTTTACAAGCTATCCATGTGGCCTGCATGTGTGTGTTTGCTTGTGTGTGTGAAGGTGGGTTTTGGTTGAACAATTGCTGACCTTGCCAGCTTCACTGTCCGGCCGCCCAGAGTCCCGGTCAGAAGACTTGCCGCTGGTGAGGCTGTCCAGAGAGTGACAGGAAGTGGCTTCAAACAGAGCCTCGTACGGACTCTCCTCCTCGGGCCCCGGGGCCAGCCTAGAGATCAGCTCACTCACCTTGTCCATATCACCTAGAACACAAGGCAATGTGTTAACAGACACATTCAGTTCTTAGCTGAACAGAAAAAAGATAAACCTTATATTTCAGTTTCCTAGTCTGTGTTAAATCATAGCTAACAACACTCAGCTTTTTCTAACATCTGGTAATTCTTACTCTTTTTACGGGGGCAGGGACTCTCATGAGGCGGAGGGATTGGTGGAGGGGGGAGGTCAATGTCAGGGGGTTTTCCAGTCATGTGACCTGCAACAGACAAACAGGACATTGTATCACAGCAGCTAAAAGTGAAATAAGTAGTGCACTTCCCTTCACAGTTCTCTGTTTCTTTTTTTACATGTGGTGTTTACCTAGGATGAGAGCAGCTATCTGTCTGCTCTTCTGGGAGGGCATGTCCTTGACAGTGTCCAGCGCTGTCAGGCCCTTCTGGTCGGTGATGTTCACGTCGATACCTGACGAATGGCAACGGGAACAGTGAAGAGTTATGTGTGGGTTTTAATCTAATTTACTTCATCGATGCTGTGTTTATGAAGAGCAGAGAGTGATGCAGATGTTGCTTGCTGAAGTCTGACCTGCACTGAGAAGTCTTTGTACCACATCTGTCTTCCCAAACAATGCAGCTTCGTGGAGGGCACTGCCTTTCTCTGTCTGTGCAGAAAAAAACAGGAGCAAAAAGAGCCAGAGGCAAAGAGAGTTGAGATTAACACCAATGTGTGACACAAATATGATTATTCTCAAAATTCAGGCACATGCTTATTTCCTTATGCTATTTTCAGAAGAGTCAGACTGCAAAACTTCATCAAGGGCTTGACAGTAACGGTTTTCGGCAACCTAAGGCTAATGCCTGGTTGATAGCCAAGTGTTGAACCCTGAACAGTGTATGGCAGATTCAAGCCCACCACCCAGTCCACTCCTATACTAACAATTATGTGGTTGAGAAATCAAAGCAGATCATTTTCCAGCTCAGAGGGCCATGATAATTGAAACCTGCAGGAAGGAAGGCCTGAAGGACATTGAATATACTCTGCATCCTTGATTCAGAGGGAAAGGAGGGCAGAGCAAAGGGGAAAGTATTTCCAGACAGATGGATGGCACAGTTTGGTACAGAGTGAGAGCCACGGGGCCCACCAGGGGGAGCAAGGCCGGCGCTGCTTTGATACCACAGCGGTTCCTGTGCAAACTGAGAGCTTAAGAGTTTTACATTTAATCTCATCGCTTCAGTAGGAAGTAGTGAGAGGAAGTGCTTCAAGTTACCCAACATGATTTTAGCCATGACGGTACATTAAGACACACTTGAAAACGGAAGCTTTTAAGTTCCCACACTTCTAGATCAGAAACACACACCTCATAGTTGATGTCCATGCCGGCGTCCAGCAGCACCTCCACCACAGACAGGTGTCCGTTACGGGAGGCCAGGTGCAGCGGCGTGTGTTTCTTGGTGTTACAGCTGAGCAGGTTGGGGTGGGCAGTGAGCAGCAGCTTCACCACCTCCAGACGGCCGTACAGCGCAGCCAGGTCCAGCGGGGTCTCAAACTTGTTGTTCCTCATGGTGGGGTCCGTCAGCTCCTCCAGCAGCATCTGCACCACCCGGGTGTGTCCGTACTGAGCGGCACAGTGCAGCGGCGTCTCGTTGTCATTGTTCTGTTGGGGGCGTATGAACGATGGTGAGAAGCAGCACAGGACACACAAGAAACAAAGTGGCAAATAGATAAAGGAGATCAGGAGAGATGGGTTGTCATGGTTGTTAATGAGGAAGAAAAAAGGTGACTCAGCGGAGTCGTTGTGAGGTGAACCCCATCAGCGCACAGAGCCCGTCACATTAGCAGATTAAAAAAGGTCATGAAATAGCACCGATAACGATAAAGCACACAGTGAGGCCTGGGGGAATATCTGGCAGAGTGGGGAGAGTGGGTGGGGGGGGACTGGCAGACATGCATGGACTAATGAGGACAGGTGTTGGGGATGGCAAGTGCGAGAGCCAGGGGCAGTGGGGCGGGGGGGCTAGTGGAGGGGTGAAGGCGCCCGGCAGGTGGGGGAATAACAGAGACACGGGCCTCTTAAGTGTCAGAACGTCTTTGGCTTTGTGTAGTTACAAAGAGTGAGACCTGGCACAATTAAAAATGTTAGGAGTGTGTCAATGGCAAGAAAATTGCTGGCAAAACCCCAACAGCCATCGACTCAACATTTTTAGTCAAAAGACAAGAAGAAGTCCTTCATGCCAATCGTCATCATTATTCGTAACACATTCAAATGAATGAGTATATTTAAGCATCAGACATGATACATTATGACACTTTGTTTTACTCACTACTTTTATGCCATGTTTATTTGTGTTTGGTGACCGGAAGACACATTTCCACCCTCTTGGGCAATACATGTGTTGTATAACTGTATTGTAAAAAATAATCACTGTCAAGAGAGACTGTAACTTTTATGGTACACTTTTTGTGCTCGCATATCAGAGCACACAGTAAGCGACAGACATGGAAGTTTCAGAAACAAGACGATGAAGGGGAAAAGATGAGGGTCGCATTTTCCACATATGCAAATGTGTGACTGTTGAGTTTCTAGAGATGGGGAATGCAGGAAGTGACCTGGGTTAATGCCTGACACTACAGTTCACTCAATAATGCTGTGAATAACACACTGACTCACTGGAATTGAGCGGAAAATAGCGAACTCTGTAAAGATTAGTATACAAAACCAAATAAAGAGCGAGACATTGACTGTTGTCCTTCATGTTAAAAGGTTCACATTATGTTCATCTATGCATAAAAGCTGAATCATCTCACCTCCAAACTCTTCATTGAAGAACAACAAGCTAAAAGACAAGCCGGCAAACAGCAATTAAAAGTAGTAATTACAGTGTAAACTCAGTAAGTGGTGCTTATTGGATCTAATGAGTCGAATGCAGCAACAAGATCAATGTCTAATAGACACTGCGACCCTCCAGCACTGCTGATGTTCTCTATCAGGAACAACCAGCAGGGGGCAAACTCTGCAATCCAGGAGCTGAACTGAGGCATGGCGTGGGAATACTCTCTCAAACTAACACACAATGACAACACAGAGTCATAATTAGGACTGTGCTGCTGGGTTGTAACTAGACACGTGGGAACCGTAGTCCAGAAAAGAAAAACCTCCTTCCTATAGTAGAAGATAACATGAGAGGAAAACAGCAACAATCACTGCTCTGAATCTCTCAGTGTGACACAATTGCAAATGCTCAGCCATCTTTAAAAAGACAGCCTATTCAACCCTACCGACCTTTAGCTCTATTCACATATTATGCAGGGATGGGAGTGGCAGATAATGCCAGTGTTATTGTGGAAACACATGCTCCAAGAGTGGGTCATTCCAGACGCACAGAGCCACCTACAAAGGGCTGACAGCTGGCACGAGAGGCCCCCACATGGACATGCACGATGCCAGTTTGAGCGGCTCCCATAGGAGCGTGCCAGCTGTGCCACTGAAGACAGGACATCATGAGGAGGGGGCAACAGGGGCAGTTTAAGACAGGTGTCAGCAGACTCTCTGAAAAACATGGCGCCAGATGGGATCAGCAGGTATCTCCTCCATTGTTACAGAGAGAAAGTGGGATTTAGAGAGGTTGAGTATTGTACTGCACTGGCAAAGCAGGTCACAGCTTGAGCAGAGAGAGAGGAGGTGGAGCTTAGAGACACAAAACGACACCTGCTTATCAAAAGGCTGGAAAAAAATACTCTCCTCTTGGGTGAACTAAACTGAACAAAACAAATGAGAAAAAACAGGGTTTAAAGCTGCCTTTCTCTGAGAGCTAAAGCAATGCAAATTCAGTTTCACTGCCTGGGTGGTTTCATTGGATGCATTTGTACATTTGCTTTTCTGTGGTTCAAAACAAACTCACATGCAAGCACTGTTATAGAGAAATGGCCTCACTGCGGAGTAAAAGAGCATGTCATCTTTCATCTGTGACGAACCATCAAACATTTGCTTTTTAGAGACATTTACTGTGATGACTTCAGCGGGCAAACTCGCTGTGATGACATCAGCCTGATTGACTTCCTCAAATATACTGCTTCAACATTAATCTAAGATACACTTATGTACATACATCAAGCAACACAATTGACTCCAACACTGAAACTAAACAAAAAGCTTTTTCACACAGAATGACAGAGGTGCAACACAAGGCGCCTTCTTGAGCTCAGTGCGTATGATCATGTTAAGATAGTGTTTCCCCTGCCAGTGTTATGGTCAGTGCTCCACGGCTATGTGTCAGCCAGCATCTGATCGTATTAAACATGGATGACTAGCCACTTGACTCACTGATAGGAACGAGAAGTGATGAGACATCGAGCCTTGCCTCGTCAATGATGACGCAAGCTAAGCTACAACGTTTATTCACACGGGTCTTCCGAAGCTGGGCTTCTACAGAAACTCCAAAACAACCCCCGGACCCCCTCCATCACTTGAGTTTTGATTATTGGATGACGTATGTTTTTTTTAATTAAATAAATGTTCTTTTGACAAACATCACCTGCTCACCTACTGGTTATAAAAAAACAATTGTAAAGGGGGAGACCAGGAGCGTATTTAGATGTAAGTCAACGCAAAGTTTGTCTTATCTAAAAGTCTGTACACACAAACTGAAAGATTGACAATTAAGTTGACTTTGACTAATAGGAGAGTCCCATTATGTGTCACTGCTTTGAAACTGCCACGTCATAATGTCAGTATCATTAATTAGGCAACACTTTCTGTGTAGCATTTGCAGTTGCAAGATTTCTTCAACAGTTACGATAATTGTATTGAAAAACCTGCTTTTGGATATACAGCTTTAAAAAGAAAACCTAAAATCCTCTCTAAATAGGTTGCATACTTGATGCATGATGTCCACATAGAAAACGGTTATTAAAACACACAATGAGACGAACTAAACATTGGTAGCTTGGTTTAAAAGCTGATTTTAGCATAGCCCTGCTGCAAATAAAAATCTAATTTCAAAACATTGCTACACTAAATTCAATTTAGTGTAGCAACTTTTACATTTGTTGTATAACAAGACTTGTGTTACAGCATAATCTTACTCTATATAGACAAACTGAATCAGCCTGATCTCCTCTACAGGCGGTGTGAGCAGTCACATAATCATGTACTAACAAGACAGAGCTCTGAAGGCTATTACACAAAATGGCACCAATGACTTGCAGTCTTGCTCCCTGGGAAAGAGATTAGAATTCATACAGCACAGCCAAGACTTCCTGGACAGAACGTGTTTTTATGAAAATCCTGTCTGCTCTTTGCCGTGGCGCTACAGACAGCATCATCCTGATTTAGACCTCAGTACATGTCAAACAAGAAGAGATTAAGATCGGCACTGCTGATTGGTAAACCCTGCTCTAACCAGGAACATCTGGAGATTAAACTGCATTGTGTTCATGCTGCAGAATACAGCGAGCGGGGAAAGAGCCAATCAGTGACGGGGAGAACAGAGGATGTTGTGATTCTCACAACCTGGGGCTGAGAGACAGTAACACGGTTTGACTAGCGACCTCCGTCACGTGAGGTGCGGGCTGGCAGCGGTTACGTCAGCCTGGCCCCTGGTGGTGTAGTAGTAGTGGTGGTGGGAGGAGGTGGTGGAGGAGTGGGCTGAGCAGCTGTTGCAGCTAGTGTGCCAACGGGCTGCCCATCCTCGCTGCATGCCCATGTCCACTGACAGATCTGGCATCCTGATGCATGCATCCATTAATAATGCCATGTATCTGTTACAATATACACTTCATTTAATGTTTGTATACTGCCTGCTAATGCTAAATAGGGCGGGGTAAAGTAGTTACAGTTAACATCTTTAATTATATTTTCTAATTATAATGTTTTTCTTAATTATTCAAATGATTATCAACTGACAGACAAATTAAGCTACAGCTATAAAATGTGATTTATTTAAGTTGATTAATAAGCAGACATTGTAAACATTAGCTGGTTCAACATGCCAATTTTATTTAAACTAAATATATTTGCCTGGAGGACAAAAAAGGAAACTGAAGGACATCAAATTAGATTTACAGTAAAAAAAGACAGAATAATCAATAATGAGATGGTTTTCAGTTGCAGCCAAAGAACTTTTTCATTGGTTTAAAAGCCCAGTAAATACTCGTGAATTCCTAAAGTGTTCTTTTCATTAAATGCACAGCAACAATCATATAAAGGCTGACTCTAATGGTGGATTTTTATTTAGAAGCTGTCACGCATTCCTGAGTTAACAGACCTTGCAGTCCTTTAATGAGATGAATGTCTCACTGGCTTCCTGCCACAGATTGTAATTCTCTGTACAGTGGACTTTTTCTCTTTTTTACAGGAAATATTAGTTTACCTCCTTATATTCCCCTTGATTAAATGGGACTTTCCAAACACAAATAACCAAAACGCCTTTAGGGTCTTAGATACCATCTCTGCTCCTGAAACTCTCCTCCTCCAGTAACAAATGGCCCCAACTGCCAAATAAGACACACCCTGAAATGTGCAAATGAGAATGCATGACAATGGAGAAATCCTGGTCCTTCCGGAAGGACTCCTCAAAAGGGGCTCCAGCCATTTCTTGGCACGACAGAGACAAGAAGGAGTCTTGGAGGACGAGCAGGGAGCAGAAGGTAAAGGGAGGGGGGGGCTGATGGTATAGTTGAGGGAAGAGCTGGACACTGAAGTGACAGACAGAGGGGATAAATTAGCGTGCTGGCAGACTGCGAGCGATGCTCCCTCCCAGAGGAAGGAGGGAAACTCTACTGCACTACTGATAATGAGGTGACCAAGTCTAAAGAAATTACTTCTGCTGCTGCCATCAGAACATTTTCCTACTCCAGCCCTCTGAGACACAGCACACCAAGCCTGACAGAAGCACATACCATGCAATACCTGTCTCAATATGAGCATACCATATATGCAGTATATACACAGTTTATTCTGATTTATTCACAACTTTATTTGAATGTATCCAGGGTTACATAGAGCACATGGTGAAGTTCACTTGAAGGGCAAAGCCCCCTGACATCTGAGCCTGGGTCAGAGGAAGTGATCTAAACATATATTGCATTAGACATGTGACCTATATATGAAAATGAAGCCTTGGTGAGAGGTCGCGTGATGTGAGTCCAGGCAGACTAGGGGCTATATCTTATTAAGGAGTAATACAGACTGTATGTTCATTAACATAAAAGAGGTCAATCAAGATGTTCATTAGGCTACACAGAAGCCTGAGCTCCTATACAATTTAGTTTCATATTACATGAGTTTCAACCATTTCAAATGTTAATGTTAAATATCGAGTCCAACTGTCCAGATAACAGATTATGATACTGATTAGATCATCATACACCCATCATTCCTTACATGAGATTATTCCTCATGAAAAAAATACAATATGGCATGAGAGGGAGTTAACTAGAGCTGCAACTGAGGATTATTATTTATTGTGGAGTAATCTACAGACTATTTTTTATTGTCATGTTATTGGAGTTGGATCTAGAAAATGTAAAGCTTGAAAAATTACTTGAACGATGAATTTATGTAGAGCTTAAACAACAAGTCTATTATTTAATCTAAACTGAACAACTACACATTTCTCATCTACTATTTTGATAATTTAATGATTATTTTGTTTATTTTTCAAGTCCTTCAAATGTGATAATGTGCTGCTTTATTTCGTTTTTTTTGTTCATCTCGACAGGAATTAGTTTTCCTTTTTGTAACTGACTAATCAGTTACAGAACCAATCATTAAATGTTCAGTTTCTACAACTTGGTATGAACTAAACCTGCATAAACCCAGTGTTCAGATGGTGGGCCCAGTCCGGGTCAGGCCTGCAGTCTGAGTGGATACTTCTCCTCTCCCGAGGCGTTTGAAAGATTAAAGCGGCCAACCAGCCCCCAAAACTATTAGTAGGAGAGAGCACAGAGACATAATGAATAAACATTGGTCTGGCTGTCTTCCTGGACCAGGATGACGGTGAATTGGAATAATAAGTCCACTCTGATTCCTCCGGTGTCTCTGAAGCCTCGTCCATGACTCCCAGACTCACTTTCAGCCTCATCACACAGCGCTAGGCTCACTCTGCACAAACACCACATCTCTCCACTGGGCCACTCACCACCACTGTACCGTGACACTGTTACTATGACAACGTCCCACCTCTTTCTCTCCTCAGCAACGCAAGCACAAACCGGGAAGGTGGGGAGAAGAGAGGGACGAGCAAACACACCCATTTACACACTCACATACAGACAAGCATGGAGTGGAAATCTTTCTTTGATGCTAATGCAAAGAGACTGGTACACTGAAAACCTCTTCATCTTCCTCCTCTTCCTCTTCCTGACATGGCTCTCTGGTACTGGAGTGTGAGGAGAGGGGAGGCAGGATGCACCCCGCCCACCAAATCACATGATCAACCATGGCCACATCCAGAGCATCCACACTGCATCCATCTTTCTGATTTATTCATAACAAGGCTTCAATAATTCAGGCTTGTGACCAGGTAGTGCTCCCCAAACTATCCTGAAATGTTTACATTAAGACATCATCTATAATCTCAGCAAACTATAACAAGACTCAACGTTAAATTCATAAAATGTACTAAAATGTCAAAGACAGTAAGACAATCATTGCAGGGAAATTCATACTCCAAAATAGAGCTGCATTAAAGAAAGCCAGCATTCCAATCCAAACGCTAAGAAGATTAGTCCAGGGGAAATGCGACAATGTTCAAAAATAGTGTTCAGCTTTATCTACAGGCCGGGGTGGGTTTCCAGCTCTGCCAGCTGAAAGGAAAACATGAAGCGACCAACATGTTAGCACCACTCACTGCTCCAGCTGTGAAGCTCTGCAGTGTCTGCTGAACAGATATTCTTCTCATGTAGACGCACTTTGATTGGGGCTTTCCTTGAATGCAATGAGCATGTGAAATATAAAGAAACTGAACTTGCTATGCACTCCAGAAAAGATAGATACATAAAAGATAAACAGTAAAAGCTGGGTCTGTTCCCAGGGGGACTAAACTCTCTATTTACCTTAGACGGTAAGTAGCTTCATACGTTTCTTTCTTTGTAGAAGTTTGTTCCCTCAATCTGATTTCCTAGGGTTTCCTACGTTTTATTTTACTCCTAAACTTTAGAATATCTGCATTGGTACAATAGAGGTAACATTATTATTTGTTTTGGTCTATAGCCATGCTAGCAGCTCTGATATGATCAACGGTGCTTTTAACAGGATGCTAACATCAGCATGCTACATGCAACATGCTAACATTTGGCAAGGGTTACCGTGTTCACTGTCTTACTAGTAAAGCAGGTTAGCATGCTAACTAGCTAACTTAACACCAGCAACGGTTAAGGTTGCGACCCCCCATCCTGTTGGAAATATTAGTATTTGACTATTTATTTGTATTAGACTTGATGTTGCATTATAGGGTGTGTGTACCAAACATCATCATAATACATCCAATGGGTATACAGATATTTCTTTTAAAACTTCAACCTCATGGTGCTAAATGAAAGGTCAGTATGATTCATCCTCAGCAAACCATGAATGTTTCCATAACATAATTTGTGTTTCTTCTCTCTCTTGAGCCATGCTGCTAACATGGCTGAAAATAAAAATAAAAATGTTGTTAGTTATAACTTTGTGTAATGTGTTTAACATTGTGTTTCTAATGTTTAATATTAGAAATGGGTTTTGTAGCTAGAAGTTGAGAAAAAAAAAATCTATAAATTGCAGCACTTCACAAATCTATCGTGCACTCAATTTGCAGCAATGCACAATCAATTATTATATCGCAGTAGATACTTCCGAGGACTTCCTGTAAGCTTCTCCATTTGTCAACTTTCCACTGTTTATCTTTTTAATACCATAATGATCAGTCTAGCTTTAATTGATAGTGTGGTCTGCTATTAGTCAATATGTTCTCCTTCTGTTGGCTGTGTGGTGCCAACAACTTTAATACTTCAGCTGCATATTATACAATGTGCTTTGCTCAATTTTTAACACAACAAGCATAAAGGACATCTAGCCTCACACATCATCCCCTGTATGTCCTCTGCCCCTCAGAGCAAAGACAACTGCTGAACTTTAAAGGGCATTTATTTTTCTAAAGCCTAATTCCTGACCCTGATTAAAAGGTTGGTACAACAGTATTGTAACATGTAGAAAATAGATTATGTAGTGAAGGGCATATCAGACATGTTACATTACAATAAAGCGGAGTAGAAAGCCAGAGGACAGGGATCTACCAATGGAGAATGAAATGAAAAGCTTTCCCATATATCTGCGGCAGAATGGCCAAAGAAAGCAGCAGCAGCAACCCAAACCCAAGCACAGCGAGCCAACACAGCAGTAAAGCAAAGAAGCACTTCAAAAAGGAAATGTTTTCACGCAGCACTCTGTACACACCTTGGCATTAATATATGGGTCAAAGGGCCCACAGCGTTTGAACTCTTTATGGTCTACAGAGCTCTGGGAGGGAGGAAGAGAAGATAGGCCAATGGTTTTGGTTCAGACAAGCAATGAACAAATGAATGATCACAAATTAGTCAAACTAAATAAAGAGACAACACAAATCAGGGTGAAGTTAATACACAATCAGATGTCATGAACAGGCAGGGAGAAATGACACAAAATAAGACACATATCATTTTTGAATCTAGCTTATGTGATCATTTGAGCGTGTCTTGTTTGATAGAATTATCCAGATAACATTTGTGGAGCTCATTGAGTGTCATTTCTCCTTATCCTAAAAAAAGGCCAGAGGTGTTTGTGCAGTAAGCAACCAAACAAAATATGAATATGAGTTAAAACAGTTAAAATGGTTAGGGGCAAACAAGCACTTCTCACACTGGCATGGCGTCAAAGCACAGTTTCACAGCATCACAGTAGAAGTCACACTCAAGATGCATTCCAGTTAATGCACTCTGCTCGCAGACTTTTCAACATTCATTTTGTTTAAATACAGTACAGACCATGCCATGCTGAATTATTATTACATCTGGAAATATCTCTTATCATGTGGCATTTCTTTAGCAAGAATGATCTCCCTACAATGTTGATAAATTAGTAACTTCCTATAGCGGTTGACTAAATCATTGACAGTAATTACAAAACTACTACCAACAAATGTGCAGAGTGTTCTGGGATTATTAACCAGGATCTAAAACATCTTGAAACAAACTCTGAAAAAAAGGAAGAGCAACATTTACTGACATCATTTCACAACTCATGATATTATCAGCACAAACCAAAAGTGGAACCTTATGAGTAAAACCGAGAGACCAAGACACACGAACACAGAGAAACAAACACAGCGGATCAAAGCAGCAGGCAGACCTGCTCGTTGAGTTTTGGATGTGAAGGTCCTTGGTGGATGAGCAGTTTGACGATATGTTCATCCCCCTTCCACGCAGCCAGGTGGAGTGGGTAGCAGCCCTTATTGTCGGCGATGTTGGTCAAGGCCTCGTTTCGTAGCAGCGTCTCCACCACCTCGCTGCAGACGAATGAAGGGACAGGGCAAAGGGTTTATAACCACACTAATGAATACACACTGCCTTAGCAAACTGAAAATCAATAGCTTTAAGTTTTCCCAGTGGGACAGTTGTCTCAAATACCTTATAATGCAGGGCATAAAGAGAGGAGGGGAAACTAGCAGTGGGCGCTATGAAGAAAAATCAAATATGGCAATATTTTTTACCAAATCCCACGATGTTGTAGAGTTGACTATTGATGCTTGGACTAAATATATTGACACAATGAACATTTGGATATTTAACCAGCAGTTATTTGGAAGTGTGTAAAGTTAATACTATAAAAGCTATAAGTCTGATACATTCAGAATCACTTTCCAATGAAAAAAACTGGAAAAGACAACACTTAAAATATCCATAAATCAAGGACAATATCTAGTCTTATGACAGGATATTGATGTCATATTTATATATTGCCCAGCCCTAGTTTCTGTTAATTCCCCAGAGTTATACATCACTGATATACCTGTGTCCGTTGAGAGCGGCGTGGTGGAGAGGGGAGTATCCAGTGCTGTCCACACAATTCACATTGGGGCCTCTCCAGATACTGTTAAGAATAGAAAGGATTGTTAGGCTTTCAAAACACAACACACACTCGCATGCCAAATAAACACTGGCCTATCCCTCTGTAAAGTCTTACTGTCGGTGTGACTGATTGTGTTGTGATTGCTATCTCAGGGCCCCTGTCCTCTCACAGCAGCCCAAACACACAGGTGGGGGCGTACATTCATGACCTCTCCCTCTTTCTTTCTCTCTATAAAAACATGTGAAAGGACAGGAATGAAGAAACAGAAACCAGCTGCAGCGTCAGGAGTCCAGGAAGTCAAAGAGAAGCTATCAGTGCCAAGCAGCAGCCAAGATGAGCTAATTGTGTCTCTTTTACAGTAACTGCATGACACCTCGCCTAGTTATTCTTGGCAAAGCAGAACAGGCTTTTTGTTATGCAGTAGAAGCAACAACAAACAAACCATCTGGACGGAGACATCAAGCGTTAAAGGGGTAAAGTGTAAAATAGGCTAGCATTAGCCCAGCAGTCTCTTTCAGCTGTCGGATCACATAGGTTTGTTTCTTTTAATTTGCAAAGAGCGCTGTGGTGAGGAGGAAGGAGAATGGTGATGGAAGGGGGGGTAGAGGGAGATGGAGGGAGTCATTTAAGAGGCTAAAGGATGCCTGGTGAGACAGAGTGCCAGGACTGTGATGTGAGGCTCTCTAAAAGACCTCAACACATCCTAAATAAATCATGGGACACGGAAATCCCAGCACGAGTGAACCAAATATCTAAATATATATATATATATATATAATATACTAGACTCCTGGTACTAGGATGGGTTAAAAGCAGAGAACAAATGTCACTGTGTGTGCTCTGCATGTGTGACCATTAAAGAGGGTTTCATCCCTTCCAATATGTATTATATTATTAATATTCACCAAACAGAAAGCGAATGGGAGTAAAAGCCGTGGGCCTCACAGAGAATCAATCATGAATGGGGGGGGAAGATGAAAAAAGTCTTATTTTACGATTTACATTGCATTGGATATATTATAGAACGCTGCGTCAAATCCAACGCAAAATACTGATTTAAAATTAGGATAGCTTCATAAATTATGAGTGACTTGGATTTTTAAGTTATTTCTATGAATAAAGCCTTTGGAGGGAAGTCTAGGAGGAAAAAGAACAGCAGTGCGGGTGATTTGCAAATCCTTTCAGAGTGAAAACAAAACTCCAGGAGATCCAGGAGTTAAACAGACTCACATGAACACTATACATTGATCCATGTGTCAAAGGTGTGGCAGCAGGATGCTCAGCCTCCTCATGTGAGCTTTAGTGCTACTGTGTGAATGTGTTTCACACACATTCGGCTCGTTTTTGTCGCAGTAATGGCTGTTTTCCCCCCCTAAAATACATCTCCCATAATAGCTCTCAGAGCAGCCTGCAATTACACAGTCAGAGCCGTCTCATTAAATAAGTGTCTTGGAGGACTCCATAGCCTGCAGAACAATGACGCTGAAGGAGCACAGACACACAGGGATGCATCTCTCTACTAGTCACAACCTAAGCCGTTTATTTAGTTCAGCAGGCCTTCTTGGTCTCATCTCAAAAAGTCCGGCAAGCCGTGAAGACATGGGGCATCAAAAGCAAGACGTGCTAGGAGGAAATACAAGAGTGGGAAATGTGGATGGAGGAAATGCTGGGAATTGATATATTTCTGTCAGTGAGGGGGGAAATGTGTGAGTTGCGATTATGTCAGATATTAAGGCATGACACAAACACACTTCCTCTCCATTCTTGCCGAGCCAGTGACTACATTTGTAGTTACTGTATAAGTACTGCTGGACTGCCTTGGTATGCAATGGACGCTGCAAACATCAAAAGGAAAAACTCGGACAGAAACAGACCTCTAGTTGCTGTCCTAGATAAAGAGTTATGTAACGGCTTACAGCAAAAAAGCCTATAAACAAATGAACATAAACATGAACAGAGCGGCCAGTATGAATGAAGAATTAAAGAAATTCGGGCAGTAAGGACTAGAAATGCAAGAAATCACGCCATGGGTGAGAGAACATAATTACGTGTCAGAATTAGGTCATTTACTTTGTGCTTTATTGCAGTACAAATGTCAACCTATCTTGTGTTATGTCTTCTCCTTACTAAAGTATCTGCACAAGATATAATTCCCTTCAGACAGATGGATCATGAGACACGTTGCAAGATTATATCTGACATTCAAGCAAGTCAGCAATTTAAAAAGAAAATCTACAATAAAGGTTAACATGTATGATGCTTTTCTGCAGTCATGATTCTGATCACAGCCAGAAGTTCTAAAAATGCCACTCACAGACACAAACATTGTGTCACATCAGCCACATGAACAAATATGAACACTACAGGGGTGTAATGCATCACAAACCACAGCATGATATCACTCTGGTTTCTAATATCACAGCTCTAATCTGGGACATGGATGTTAATTAACGCAATCACAATCATCTGCATGCAGAGGGAATAAAGATGTCTGCTCATTGCAATTATTCACCGTCATGAATGCTATAAGCACCGCTGCCTGTAGGAGCAGTTTTAAGTGCAATGTCCTCTGAGCATTTTAGCAGCCTGGCACCCAAGGGCATGAGTCAGAGTGGTGCTCCACAATCCTTCATCCTCTTACTACGGCTCACAACCAACCTAACTGAGGGACAGGGCTTAGGCCCATGGCGGGGCAACGGGCAAAACAGAGCTGATTTGGTTTGGGAGGGGGCACATTCATGCTAACTGACTGAGGAATTCCGGTTTGAAAGGCTCAGCTAATCCTTAATTTCCCTGAGGGAATATCAACGGGATGAAGCTGGAGTTTGAAAAAGATTCTGGGGGGCTGCAATTCTGTGTTGTACAAAGCCCGGCCGGTAGCAACGAGGAGGACGGATAATAACATGTCCCCTCTTTTATGTGTTCTCTGCATTAGTCTGCTGGTGTTAGTCACACATACTGGAGGCATTCGGAAAAGACAGTAATTTCCAAAATATGTGTGCTTGAACATAAATCTCCACTGTGTTTTACTCTGAAGTCCAAATGTCATGGAGCAGTCATTACATGTGCAAACAGATGAATCTGTTCTGAGTTTTTCAGCCTTGTTATTCCTCAAACCACGTAAATAAACTATCAACTCAATTGGCTTAATAAATAGGGATCTCTCAGTTTCATAAAATCAAATCTTTATTGATAATTTGAAGATTCAAATCCACTAATAATGGACTGGTAAGCATGTAGAAAATCAGAAATGCATCATATGATAATAATGATTGATAGCTTATCTTTGCTAAATATTATGACTAACCAGATTAACAACTTTCAGAGCCTTACAGAGCAAATACTTAGTGCACAATTTGCATCATGCGTCAAAAGGTTGACTACCAACAGCAGGTATTTAAAATGTTTCTATTTCCCAAATGTCCTACAATATTTCCGGTGGAGCAAAAAGTCATGATACATATTTACATATTTATTTATTAGGCTTGGGGAACAGGCGAGGCAAATTGCAGTTTTAGGATGATGCCAATAAGAACCCAGGTGAGTTTGAACCAGGTGTCAAATAAACAGATTTGACCCTGCAGCTATTAGCAGTGTGACCACACCGGGGATTAGTCTAGCTCAGGGCACCGAGCCCAGCAGTGACTGGCGCATATCAGCTGTACCGTCGGGGAAACTGTGCTTAATTATGCACCGCTGGCGGGTGGTGGAACCAGATGCCCCACAGCCAACCAGAGCACCCTCTCATCAGCAGCGAGTGAACCATGCCATAGTCCCAAAGGCCTGCAGAGGGGTACACTCAATGAGCTCAAATCAGTGAAAAGACCATGTTGGGATCTAAGAACTACAACTGTAACAATTCACACTCCTTATGAAGGGTTCTTCTGGACCTGATTAAATGGTAGCACATATTATAATGTTCTGAAGCAGTTTGACAAGTTTAGGCAGCACAGGAAATCAAATTACGCAACAAAGTCAACATCTATGACACAATGGTAAGAAGACGTCAACAAGTATACCACTAAAATGTGCTAAATGTACCTTTCTTCTTGAAGTTGAATGCCTTTAAAATGTATATTTATCGATGTATGAGTATATATGATTTTCTAGAACTCTATACAATTTTAAGTTGTTTTTTTTTGCTATCATTTTAAGTTATAGCAATCCATCCTGGGTAGACTTAAATGACTGTGTAAATCCATAGTTGTGAAAACATTTCACCCAAAAGAACAAATGTCAAATTCAAGAAGCACAAGATTATATAAATCCTAATAATAAATCCTCCTCATTGGCCATTAATGTGTGTACAAACTTTTCTTGCCAATCCACCCAATAGCTGTTAAGATATTTCTGTCTGGATCAAAGTAGCGACTGTCATTGTAATACTTAGAGCTGTGCTGCAAGCGTGGTTAAAAAACTGCAAAAAAAAATTCAGGAATCTTTGAGGAAATGATCCCTCAAAATTGGGAAAATAATTACATTTTCTACAGTTAAAGGTGGGGTAGGTAAGTTTGAAAAACCGGTTCGAGATACACTTTTTGTTATATTCCATGGAATGCTCTTAACATCCCGATAGCAATGAATATCTGAAGTGCTTTGACAAAAAATCCATAACAAAATGTCATCTGTGGAAGCAGTAGCGCTGTAAAAAGCACGACCAATCATCTGAGCCGGCCCGGCTAAAGTAACTGGATGGCCTACCTGCCTGTCAGCCTTCCATCTGTGCACAAACTTATCTCGTGCCCTCATTGGTCATGTGCGCGTTCGTGTGCGTTGGAGGAGGGGCTCTGTAAGGAAGTGGCAGATTTGTTCCGGTTGTGTATTTTCTAATTCTAGCGCACTCGAGCTGGTTTCTCCAAAATTACTTACCCCACATTTAACAATCCCATAAAATGCCATGAAGCTACTAAAACATAATAATCTTCTTTACGACTACTACTAGTTAACAAGTTATAAAGGAAAAGAACATATTTTATTAAAAACTGCAATATGGAGGCTCATTTTCCAATTTGATTGCAGTT